AGACATGATAAAATACAAGTACACGCCCTTAGGTTGTCCATAACATCAACCACAGTTTACCAAACATCATCAACTACTACATATATATAATGTATCACAAAGACACTCTACAAGCCTAGCTACTCGATGTTACATATCAGAGTGACCGACTCAAGAGTAAAGGAGCTATACTCCAAAAAAAACCTCCAACAATTCTAATCTGCAATGCCTCATAGAGCATCATAAAACAGCAGAAGGGTGAGAAATATCACCATAATAAAAAATGCATATAATTATGTATATAAACAATCATAAAATACATATATGCCACATTTCTCAATCAATTCACACACTCACCACTCCCACATCAACATATCGTATATATATATACATATGCACACTTCTCCTAACAATCACATATACATTATGTTTCATTAGCGCAATTCGCATTAATTCACATAAACATACACATTAACTCAATAAAAACACACAACATGTTTATTCCATTGCTAATTCACATAAACATCTACATTCATGTTTATTTCGCCAATGCATCATATGAAGATGACAACATGCAACTCATAGAGACCGACACACGACTCTATGCAGATGCAAATGCGGTACCGACTCATTTCAGCAAGTTCAATTGAAGAACCAAAAATAACCATGGCTCACACCCCACAAGGGCACACGAGGTTCTGCAGATTCTCCAAGGAATCAATATAACCATCGCAACATACGAGGTTCTGCAAATCCTCCGAGGGATCAATAAATAACCATCGCTCACACCCCACAAGGGCACACGAGGTTCTGCAGATTCTCCGAGGAATCAATATAACCATCGCAACATACGAGGTTCTGCAAATCCTCCGAGGGATCAATAAATAACCATCGCTCACACCCCCACAAGGGCACACGAGGTTCTGCAGATTCTCTGAGGAATCAGACACACAAGAATGCATACCATGATGCTTCACATGCAACATGACTCATGACACTCTTGAAATGCACACATGTTTACAAACATACTCATGCATTCATCATGTTAATCGCATATATTCATTATGCACTCACAATATTTAAACATGGTTCACATTTACAATCATCATACATCGCATACGAGCAATATGCACTTGCAAATATTGTGCCAAATGGCAATAAACTCAATCACATCCATCATGCATTTTCAATCAATTTAAACAATGCGTCACATATGCCCAAAAGGCCACATATTCACAATCAATTCATAATTTAGGATTCATGTCATACGGCTACCCACAACACACATAACAACATATAATTAGTTATCTCAGACAAGGAATGATCGCAACCAAACCACACCACCAATCCATGAATGGAAAACACAAGAAAAGAAAATATGCTATTGTGTTCGCTAACCTTCGCCTGGCGAAGCCCCTGGCAAACCTTCGCTACCCGTTCGCCTGGCGAACTTGCCAGCGAATACTACTGGGATTTATTCTGGAATTACTCGATAGCACTCGCTAGCATACTCGCCTGGCGAACCTTCGCCACACTCATTCGCCTGACGAACTTGCCAACGAAGACAGGGTGTTTGGTTCTGACTTGATTCGCTACCATTCGCTGGGCTTCGCCTGGCGAAGCCTCGCTGCCATTCGCCTGGCGAACCTGTGAGATCAGAACCCCCATGGCTGTCCAAAAGCCCAAACCTCACAAAACCAACCGATTCAGTACAAATCAACCCCAGTAGGCTTAGCCCAACACTACCCGACTAAACTACTCCGTTCATTCTCGATTCTAACCGATAAAACATCGTCTCTACCGATTGAACCAACTTCTGCCCTAAATGGAAAATGAGTAGAAAACCCCAACAAATCCAACACACACATACATAATCGTACACATTGATTAAGATAGTAAGATTTCACACCCTTACCTCGATTAATCGGAAGCTAGAAGTCGTTCTTGAGCTTTTCCAAGCTTTTCCTTCTTTTTCCTTCTACTTTCTCTTCTTCCTCCACTTTTCTTTCATGTTTTCTATATTTCCTTGTCGTTCCTCTTCCCCCATATATATATACGTCCTGCCCTTCTATTTCTCTCCAATATATTTCTTCTCTTAAAATATTTGTCAATTCATTTTCTCATAAAATATCTCATCTTGACATTGGTTAGAAAACATCTGATAAATCCTCATGATTCTACCAAATAGAGTAAATCAGTTAACTCCAATAATTTACTTAAACCATACGAACCAACTAACTAGTACAATTAATCAGTTATTAAAAATCGGGTTGTTACATAAAACATTGTATTGTAGGCCTCGTCCGTCGTCGGCATAACCACGAACCATTTATCCTTGAAACCCCGTGTATACCCGGAAGAGCCTGGTCGGCAGCTTCAGGGAGACCCAATTATATCGGCCAGCCACCGTCTGCCGCTACAGGTGAAAGACAAAGGAGAACAACGGTATGGTGGCCCCGAGCTCAAGATAATTACAAACGATCTCGAATGCCCGGAGAAAAGCGAGGGAGTTAGGGTGAAGTTATGACGGTGCCAACATTAAATGGTCGAGCACGCCCTGCTGAAAGCCTGTGAACGACATACGCATCCCCGCCTCCTTGAAAGCAAATTCATACATGGGGAACCGGCCCCCGTCATAGCGAGAGCATATACGGTCTAGCTCCCGAGGCCGACATGCTCGAAACTGACGGGGCGCCCCGACCTCCCTATTCTCAATCACGGAAAAAACATCTGAAACATCGAGCACGAACCGCGACATATAATTAAGGGGTTCGTTCCCGACCCACTCCCCGACCGGTCTGTCTAGGGGATCCACGACGGCCTCATCTTGACGACCCTCTTCGTCGTCGGACAGATACCACATCGTCCCCTCTTCTTCATGGTCGGTCATTTACCTGAAAAGCATAGGAACTTGGTGAATTCGACAACCAAATCAAATCCACTCTTCCACTGCAGTTCAAGTGAAAGGGCGTGGACGTTTGGGCTCCCAGAAGACCATTTTTGGGGTGACCCGACCCTCCGATGTGCCTAGGGGAGTGCAATCTTTATCCTCGGCGCATTCATCATTCTTGTCCGGGGTACATCGACTACCCTCGGGACATTCAAACTTTTATTGATCCTCCCCGGGCCACTCATCGCAAGGGCCGGGGACAATCAGTCACAACCCTAGTTTTGAAGGACTCTCCGGCGTATTCGTCGGGAAAGCCCATGGTCACCCCGACGTCCCCAGCGGAACCACCGGGAGCACCACCGGTAATACTAAAAAGCACCAGTAGGGAGGCAGAGACTTACGTGATTTGGCAAAAAATACGGTCGCGTCGAGCAGAAAGACTGTAGGCGTCGAGCAGAAAGACTGAAGGCGTCAAGTAGACAAATCAGAAGATCGAACAACAGCAAAAGGAACGAATGAACGAAAAGACGAGTTGGACCCACATATATATACGCCCTAGCGCGGAAAACGAAGCATCACTAGGCACTCAAGTGCCTAGCCCGTAACCTTCGTAAGGTGACACGTGGTAACCCCCAACCTTCCTTACGTCCCTTCAGCTTCCCCCTCATCGACCACGGGCTTCCCCCTGCCCGACATAACGACATGCTCGACGTTATTTGCACCTTAAGTCATAACTCGCTTGACCGCGAGCAACAACTTAGGGGCTACTGTTCTGGACTGGGCCGACGCTTGGCTCATAGTCGAGCAGGCCCAAACACCACCAGGTTGGAAGGTCCAATAAGACCTCATCTTCAAGCAGAAACCTGTCGGGCAGAATATCTTCTCCCGTTGGGCACGGACCAACGACAGTCGAGCAGACTCCTCATAGTTGTCTGACTCGTCTTTCTTATGCCCCACGGTCGGGCATAACCCATCCATCTCGGGAAGTTCCTCGGACCTCTCCCACGTTCTCAACGTGTCCCCTACGCGGAGACACGTCATCAGGTAACTATCTGTGTCCTGATTATTTGATCCTCCTCTTCCCGGATAGCGCGGAACAGTTACACTAAGGCGAAGACCACGTGCTGGTCTTCACGACGCCACGTCAGTCCTAGCAGTTACCAGCGTTGGTCCTGGCAGTCCAACCCAATGCATAGTAATCGTTGGCCCTGCGCTGGGGGCTCATTATAAATACCCTCTTCCACTAAAGGGTCAGGTAATCTAATTCTTACTCCTTTCTCCTTGTACTTGTTATCACTCTGCTCGTCCCTTACTTTGATATCGGAGTGTGTTTCAGGTACACCCCTCTCCCCTATGGTTAAGGTGGGAATAGTTAAATCAAAATATAAATAAATAAATAAGAGTTAAATTAGAAATAAGTAAAAAATTATTTAAGATCAACTTTTTTTTCAATATATATACACACACGAGCTTTACTTGTAGATTAGCAAAAATGTAATTTTATATAGTTAAGGTGAGAATAGATTGCCAACAATTGCTTAAATTAAAAGAATAAATAATGATTAAATAAAAAATACGTAAAAATGTATTTAAGATCAACTTTTTTCAATTAAAATTGGATATAATAATTTTATTATCAAATAAAAAATATTAAATATAAATAATTATAATAAATTAATATATAATTTAATTTCTAAAATATATAAATATAAAAATTTTAGAGATTGGATTTTGACATTCGCCTCAAGCCTTGATATACTTTGGACCGGCCCTGATTGAAGCTCTGGTTGGAGGTGGCAGAGCATTTTCAAATGAGTTGGTGGGGTTTGGTTCACGTGTGTGGAGTATTTGAAAATCAAGAAACAAATAACTTTTCCAAAGTAAAGAAATATGCATTCAACTATGGTAGAGGGTGTACAAGTGTATTCTTAAAATTGGTGGTTGAGCATTGGATCGAATAGCATTGGTTACAACATCGTATTATGGTGCTTAAATCCAATATGATATGATTGATAACAGGATGTACAAATTAAATATAAGAGCAAAATTTTATATATCTGATATACAACCACATATAGATATAGAGTTTGACTGGCCAATGACTTCACCTTGTCCATAAAACCCAACAGGTTCAGTACATCCAAGATAAATCTTGCCTGAAAGACACAAACTTTGCAACTCCATGGATACCTCTTTCAGAAACTTGAGGACAATCTTCAATCACCAAGAAATCCAACTTGAATGATCCAAGCAGTGGCTTTAATCCATCGTTTGAAATTCCCAAACACTTGCATAACCGTAAGCTACACAGACGGGAAAACTGGCTCAAAAGCTGTAGCCCCTCGTCAGTAATCTCTTGGCACCTCACGAGTTCGAGTGATTCAAGATTTTCAGCAGTGCAGAGCGCTTCCATTCCAATGTCATTGAAGGAATAAACGTGATCAAGGGCAAGGTTCCGAATCGGGCACTTTTGAATCAAGCAAAGTATTCCACTCAATGTGAATGAGGAGGATGAGGGAAACTCCCCATCAGAAAAAGATATGCTCACTGATTCAAGCTTTGAGCAATTTTGAGCCAAGGCTTTCAGACTCTCATCTGTTAATCTCAAAGGATTATTCACCAAGGATGGAAGAGAAAAATCAGATGGAACTCTAAATGAAACCGATCGAAGATCACTCGATTTTTGAGACAAACAAATTATGTCAACGTCCCTTACGCCAACACACATGTCAAGGTGAATTTTTTCCAAGTTCTTGCACTTGCCTAACACGCAAGCAAGCCCTCTCCCAGGGCTTATAATGCAATTCACCAAACTAAGTTCCACCATATTTTCACAAGCAACATACTGCTTTTGCCACCTATCTACGGACAATCGATCATAAACCTTCATATATCGGTAATTAGCATCCACTTCAAACTGCAACCTCTTAAGTTTTCCCCAACCAGAACCAAGCTTAATCAAATCACCTTCACCGATAGCTCTACAATTCCTAATAGACAGATCCTCAAGTGTTCCTAGTTTTCCAAGGTATTCAAGCCACTCCACACTGCTCACATTGAGACACCTAACAAGATGAAGCCTCACAAGATTCTTACAACCGACAACAAGAGACAATACTCCACAACCCGTTATCCTCGGAGTAAAGTTCAACCTCAGCGACGACAACTCAGAAGAAGAAGCCAAGTAACGAAGACCAACATCAGTGATAAAAGTACAATAACTTAACGAAACATCATGCAGTAAAGGACAACGATTTGCAAGAATGAAAAGACCGTTATCATCCAACTGTTTTCCTAATTTCGACATCCAACCAGAATACGTGATCTCTACTTTGGACAAACTTCGAAACCTAGTACACAAACATGTTAATGCTTGATTTGCAGGATCCATTCCAGAACCAACCTTAAGAGAATGTCTCTGTGCATTATCTAAATAGTAAAGCCTTTTACAAACTAAAGAAACATTGTTTCTGTCACTAGTTTTCTTTATCCTACTCAATATTTCCCATACTATATGCTCTGGTATATTATCCATCAAATCAAATTATTCTCCACTGCAAAAAATTATCAGCATAAAATCCTCATCAGACTCATAATTACATACTCATTATGAAAAAATAAACATTTTTTTAAATAATCCAACATAGGATATAGAAACTAACTTGTTTATCAACCAAATCATGTAATTCAAAGAATAAATCATTCAGATCTGAACGAAATTTTGAAAAGGTTTGAGTAATGGTAAATTTAATTGGGATTGCAAAACTAACCAAATGAGTAATTGAATGGTAAGGTGTAAAATTGAAATTGAGAAACAGTATCTTGAAATTGAGAAGAATGAATGAAATTCATTACCTTGTTCATAGGATGAATTAGAATGCTGCAATGTTTCGCCCAAGAACGAAACTAATCTAAAATTTGGATTTGCATAATATTTGGAACTATTAGATATATTTTATTAAAATGCTAATTCTTCAATGGGCCTCTCGGTCCGAAATATCATCTCATTTTTGGGCCTATTTGGTTTCCTTCAAAAAAATATCTTATGGCACCCTATATTTTTACCGCACCGTGTGAAATTTTACATATGCCTTTTGATTTCGGAAATATATCTTCGGCACACCCAAAGTTCAGTGACCGCTGAAATATTTTAGAAATATATCTCCAAGACATTTTAGAGCATACGTCGCGTCAGACTCTTCTGCTTTCTTATTTCACACTTTTCTTCTATACATTCTTCTCTTTCTCAATACACCTCAACTTCACCAAATCAATTTTTATCAAGCAGAGCTTAAAGGAACTCAAAGAACATATTCAACATCATCAAAATCATAAGTTTCGAGTAAATTTTTCGACTTTTCGATAAATATTCGAGTTTTAGTGTAAATGTGTAGAAATCAATTATTAGGGTTAGAAATGTGTAGAAATCACATGTATCATAGTTTAGACTTAGTCTTTGACTTGTTTGTTGGCTCAAAATGACGATCAGGTCATGTTTTTCAACTTGCATGAGGCACATTACACCGTTGTCGTGACCACTGAGTTGTAGAACATTCTGGAGATACATCTCCGGAATAGTTCAGTGTTTCATATACTTTGGAAAATTCCGGAGATGCATCTCCATAACTCTTCAAAGTTATTGTTTTATAGTGTTTTAGGATATACATTTCCGGAATCGTTCAACGTTATTGTTTTATGGTGTTTTCAAAAATGCATCTCCGGAATTTCCTGCAATCTGTTTTTTTTTTTAATTTTTCTTTTTTGTGTGCACTAATGATTTACCTTACTTTATCTTACAGAAATAATGACTGATAGAGTCAACAGACTGAAACATGACAGGTTGTCCAGCACGCATTCGTTCGGCAGGAGTGGAGCCAGCATGTTTCTGAGGCAGCAGGTACCTCTGGTCAAGCAGAGCCATCGACTTCTGGGGCGTCGTTTACTTATGTGGATCTTGCTTCACCTTAGGCAACTCCATCTCTGGACACTCCACCTTCTTCTTCTTCCCGTAGGAGACGGGATTCACCATCTGATGCGTCATTTTCCTCATCCTCCCGCAGACGTCAGGATTCACCAATGCCACCTCTTATGGATTCAGTGTCACCTCTCAATGATGATCCTACTAATCCAGTGCGACCTCCAGAGGGTGAGGCTACTACAGATGCCAAGTTAGAGGGCTTTTGAGGAGGTCCATATGATTTGTCTTTACTATCTATGTATCCAAGCCAAACTGTCGGACATATTTGGGACTGAGAGGTAGCATTAGTTGGAGTCTATATATTTTTTTTGGTTGACACTTGTATTTTTGTGGACACGAGTGCCACTTATACTGACGTTTCATACCTCTGGTACTTCTTGGATCTACAACGAATTCATGAGTACAACTGAGAGGCAACTTGCCTGACCTATATTTATTCGAAGATGAGAGATGGATGTCGGTGGAAGATGAAGCAGGTCATAGGCAGTGTGACACTACTGGTGGTAATAATTCATGATCCTTGAATGTTTTTTTGTCAATTTCATTTCATATTTGCAAAACCATTGTCGATAATTCTTGATCCTTGAATGTCTTTTTTTTATTTCAAGCTTGAATCCCCCAACACTTCTCGTGTGTTGCTGGTTGGGCGATTGTGGATGAGTACACTAAGGATATGTCGTGTAACTGTGCTTTTATCCCGCTCAAAGGGAACCAGGCGATCGAGTCTTTCAGAGTCTATCTTGATTGTTTGGTTGTTGAGGACATGCACTTCAACAGCTATGCAGATTACCGTCAGACGCAACCACTTGACGAGATAGCGTTATATTATGGATGGTTGTCCTGCGGATCGCGGATCACTGCTCCTAATCTACCTGAGCACATCATAGGGCAGTTTGGGTTCACACAGACCATCCCTAAACACCTTGTTGTCTCTACTTATCATGTCTTGTCTCTTAGACAGATATAGGAGATGTTTGTTGATTATGAGAGTTATCTTGTACCAGAGGAGGCACGGGCTTCCATAGCATCGAATGACTAGAGCTAAATCGATGGGTACATCAGGTGTTTTCTTCAGGGTGTGACATTTGTACATGGTGTAGATTGCTCTAAGAGATCCGCCGAGACCAACTCATCAGGAGATACTAGAGGATGAGCAGACTCAACTAGATCATATTGATGATGTCTTGCCTCTGTGTCGTTGCATAGTGGAGATTGTGTGGGCATGCATTGGCGAGGGTATCTTTCCTGAGGGGTCTGCTATCAAGCGAGCCCTGGATGCCATGGTGGCGGAGGCACGGGGGCACTGTTGTACCGAAGACATCGCTGGAGGACAGGGGGATTGATGGCCGAGGAGGCAAAACAGGTAGAGGAGATGTTGTCAGACACACACAGTAATAGTCTATTATTATTTTGTTGTATTACTATACTCTCTACTTTATTTTTACAGTTTTATTACATTTTGGATCTCGATTGTACAAAATTTTCTACATATATTGTTATACTTCATCTAGTATTAGTCTCTTATTATTTTGTACATCTATTTTTTTTTATTCGAGATTGTGCTTTATACTTCATCTGAAAATAAATACACAACTTATAGTAAAAACACGTGTTCTGATACACTTCGGAGATGTATCTCCGAAAAATTACCGGATATGCATCTCCGCAACAATTCAAATGTAAATGGTGTCTGAGTGACACATTTTGAATGTTCAAAATGATTTTGAGATATATTTTCGGAATATGTCAACGTTTATTCAAAAATAGGCGCGTCCGGAGATGTATCTCCGAAATCAAAAAACATATGTAAAAATTCACATGGTGCACTAGAAACATCTATAATACAATAAGAAATTCTTAAAAAAAGTGTTTTATAATTTTTATATAAAAAAAAATATTAATTTGTGTTCTTACTAAGAAACTCAATATAAAAATATTAGTCGTGAGTAAAATGGAAAACTAGTCTTTGTATTTGTAGGACAATTTCAAATTGCCATTGAATATTTGTAAATAAATCCGACTCTATTAAAATGTCAACTTGATTCCTCTATATAATTATTTAATATCAATTAAATTTTCGTGTTATACCACTCATTATTAATTTAGTTTTTATATTTAATCACATGCTTCCAATTTAACTAAAATATTATATCAAAAAATTAATATGAATAAAATTTTACAAAGTGAAAGTTTTTTAAAAATACACTTACTCTTAAAAATCTACTTGAGTCTATTTGAGTCTACTTGTCAAAAAAGATACAGATGCGTAGTAATCTTTAACTCGTAAGGATTTCCAAAGACTTTCGTATTTTTGTGAGGTTACTGCAAGCTCACGAGGTTGAGACGCTCTATTTTACTGGGTTTTCTATGAATATGAGATTGATCTCCTTAACCCTAAGGTTGAGGCATTTATAGAGGCATATGGGACTGGATTTCTGATTCCTCAGAAATAGAAACACCCATCCTAGTGGTGAGAGTGGACCGTTGAATCCCTATTTCTTAGAGAGATGTGGGTCGCTCCCTTGACTTCTTCTCTGCACAACCTACGATCAAAACGCGTCACGTCTCAAGTTTTCCTACTCAGGGCTTCGTAAGGGCGAAGTGCTTAATTGACTTTGTGTTGGGACTTTTAGTCTGTCTTAGGAGAGTCTTAGTCTCTTAGGTGATACCTTTATATGAGCCTCTTAGTTAAGTTCCTTAGGCAAGGCACTTATATGAGCTTCTTTGATGAGACTCTTAGTCCCTCGAGTGAGACATTTAGATAAGCATGTCTAATGAGACTCTTAAACCCTCATGCACAAAATTTAGATGAGTCTATTTGATGAGACTTTTGGTCCAGTCCCTCGAGCGAGGAGTTTAGATAAGGTGAACCCCCTCACCCACCCCCCACACATTATAGCCCATTCAAATTTCTCGTGAAGGCAACAAGGATCTTCATGGAAAGTCTGATATTCACGTATTGTCTTAAAAGGCGAAAAGGATATTTCCTTTGGAAGTCCAACATTCATGTATTGCTTTAAAAAGTGACAAAGATAATCTTGTAGAAGTCCAACATTCATGTATTGCCTTAAGAGGCAGCAAGGACCTTTTTGCAAAATTTTAGCACACTTGTATTGCCTTAAGAGGTGACAAGGATATTCTTGTGGAAGTCCACATTCATGTATTGCCTTAAGAGATGAAAAGGATCTTCCTACATAAGTCTAATACACTTGTAATTCCTTTAAAGGCGACAAAGATCTTCCTACAAAAGTCTAACACACTTGTATTGCCATAAAAGGTGGCAAGGATCTTCCTGTGGAAGTCCAGCATTCATGTATTACCTTAAGAGGTGGAAATAAAATTCCAACACACTTGTAATGCCTTAAGAGACGACAAGGATCTTCCTGCAGAAGTCCAACACACTTGTATTGCCTTAAGAGACGGCAAGGATCTTCATGTGGAAGTCCAGCATTCATGTATTTCCTTAAGAGGCAGAAATGATCTTCTTGTGAAAGTCAATCACACTTTTATTGCATTAAGAGGCAGTAAGGTTCTTCCTATGGACGTTCAACATTCAT